TTCCGGCTGAGACTGCTGGTTAATATTGTCTGGTATTAACTTTCTAATTGAGTACAGTGACTGAAATTTAACTATCAATCACCCCCCTCCCCTGAAACAACTGTATGGAAAGGTAAAGACGGGAGGTTTTCATGATAAAAGGAGGGGTTTCGGAGTTTTTCTTCCCACCCTCTAGGCTAGATCAAAATGTTCTTCATTTCAGAGCCCTCCTCCCTAGAAGATCATTGTGCAGCCTTCCATGCCAGGACCCGATCAGGTCTCTGGGAGAAAGCTATCATTTCTGCTGTAGGCTTTTTTCCTCCCCCAAATAGGAGACAATGGATTCACATCTCGACTAAATAAGACCACTGCAGTCTTATGGCTCAGTTTTGATTGATGAGTATTCCCTATCTAGCCCTGTGCCAGGTGCTTTAAAAGATAGAATCAAAGTATAAGACAGCCCCGTTGTTCAGGGAACTTACAGTAATACAAGACATAAATATGAGAAATATGTAGAAAATAATGCAAGGCTGAATATAATCCAGGGCTTAATCAAGTACCTACTACTCTAGTTCTTTGCAAAATGATGCATTAATACCAAGACTGCCCTCCTGAAAATACGTGTGCAGGAAGAATTTAATCCAAAAGTATGTTACAAAGACTGTTTGGTCCATGCAATACTAAAACTTAACAGTTCACGAGAGTGCTTCCTGTCTGCAGGGTATTAGCAAAGCCTTTTACGTGTGTGGATTTAATCCTCACAACCACCTGAGCTACAGATAATATTCACATCCCTGTTTCTTTCACGATGGGGAAACTGTGGGTTAGACACACTAAGTTGTTTGGGTGTCACTATCTTGTTACTGGACACTAGAGCCGGAAATGAAACCTAGGAAGTCTGATTAGAGACTTTTAAACCAGTTGCTATTATAGGTAAAAGGAAGTTCCAGAGTTAAATAGGACTTTTGACTACAGGCATTCTCAGATTCTTTACTATGGTTAGGTATATTGCAAAGTTTTATAAAAAGCATTTTTAATAAATATAAGGTCAAGTATAGCTTTTAACCAAGGATCTCCCAGCATTAGTCTTTTTTAAGATAGACCTTGGGAAACACAAAAGTGGAGGGTCCCCAGTGTCTTATGTACAAAGAGAAGCTGAAGGAACAAAAGGAGGCGGTTGGATACAGTGTTGAGTGAGTCAGTGATGCCCCATGGAACACACAGGCTGCCCTCTGCCCTGAGCCTAGCATGGCCTCCTCAGCTTCTAGCTGCCATGGTAACAAGCCCAGTGTCCATTTGAGATGGTTCATTAGCCTTTCATTCTTCCTACTGCCAGGTTGCATTCATTTAAAGCAAGCAAACATTTTTTGAGCTCCTTCTACAACCCAGGTACTGAGCTAAGTGGAGGTCAAACAATGATCACCTCAACAGTGAGGCTGCCTATGCCATGGAGCTGTAGTAGCCGGATGCCAAAGAAAGAGCCTGAGTCTTGTTCAGAGCCAAACCACTCCTCTACCTCCTGGGCCAGGCAAACACTGTAACTGAGCTAAGCCACAGTTATATTAAACAAACAAACAAAACACTGAAATATCACTGCCCAGCGTTTCACTGGGAATACGTCACAACACACATGCACATATCAAGACTCTCTGAGTTCAGTTTTCTGTGGCTGTTTCATGGGAACTGGGGTTTCCTGGTGGCTCAGTGGTAAAGAGTCCACCTGCAATGCAGGAGACGCAGGTTTGATCCCCAGGTTGGGAAGATCCCCTGGCAGAGGAAATGGCAACCCACTCTAGTATTTTTGCCTGGGAAATCCCACTCCCTGCCATGTGCCCTAGCAGCTGGTAACAGGAAAGATAAGTGCACCTGAGGATATTCAGGCTACTCAGGAAGGAAGGTCTTGGGAGCTGGAGGTGTGTGCAGAACCCCAGAGCAACAACTCCAGATTTCAGGGTGCTGGGTCCTCATGGGCTGTGGAGTTAGACAAGCTTGGGTCCAAAGCCCTCTGTTCTTTGCCGGCTGTGTGACCCAGGGCAGCCACTTAATTTTCCAAGTCGGGTTCCTCATATGTAAGATGGTAACAATATCAGTACCTGGACTTGTTAAGTGTTCGTCGCTCCGTCGTGTCCAACTCTTTGCGAACCCATGGACTGTAGCCTGCCGGGCTCCTCTGTCCATGGGATTCTCCAGGCAAGAATACTGGAGTGGGCTGCCATTTCCTTCTCCAGGGGATCTTCCCGACTCAGGGATCAAACCTGCATCTCCTGCATTGCAGGCAGACTCTTTGTGGTCTGAGCTAGCAGGGAAGCCCAGAACTTCAGTGCTCAGTAAATATTGACTTTTACTCTCAGTCCCAGATCCATGGTCTAAGGCACCGGCCAAGGAAACATCTCTCTCAGGGCAGCAGAATATTAGCCCACCTCTTAGTACTCGGAGCTGTGGCTCCAGATGGTGTGGACTTTTTTCACCCTTCTCTCCTCACCCCTTTCCTTTTTAAAAAATTATATTTCTGCACCACCAAAAAGTAACCTTGAGATGCCTTCTTACATTTAGCCTTTAAGCTGTGCTTTTATCCTTGGCAGAGTCACATGCCAAACATAACCAGGTCTGTTAGATTTTATTTATTCTTTTGGTTGTGTGGTTCTTTGTTGCAGCACAGACTCTCTAGCTATGGCTCATGGGCTTAGTTGCTCCGGGGCGTGTGGGATCTTCCCAGACCAGGGGTCGAAACTGCATTCCCCTGTATTTGCAAGGCGGATTCTTAACCACTGGACCCACTCGGCAAGTCCTAGATTGGTTATATTTTAGAATCAGACTGACTTGGTCCAAATCCCAGCCCTGCCACTGTTTACCTAAGTGGCCTGGAGCAAGTTCATCTGTGTTTGGTGTTATTCACTGGTGATGCAGGACTAGTAAACCCTACATCACAGACAGGTTGCCAAGGTAACCCATATCAACCCCTGATACTGTCTCAGTGTTGTTAAAGGACTGCCCTTCTGATGGGAATATTCTTGAATGTGGATGAAGGGAGATTCCATCATCTCTAGGTCTTGGGCCTCTTTGAAGGCTCCAGAGCCTCCCTGAGCCTGGCAACAGTGGTCTTCACCAGCCCCTTTTCATCAGAGGAAACCATCTATCAGCTCTGGGAGGGGCCGTCCTCCACCTTGTCCCAGCTCTGCCTCACCCCACCCCTAAACCCCAGCATCTGTTGCCCAGACAGTCAGCTGCCAAGCTGTGCCCCAGTCTCTCCCTGTGGTTCATTTGATATGTTGCCATTTTGTTCTAGGGGAAAAAGCCAGTATCAGTACGGGGTAATGGGGAGGCAGACCCTGCCTCTGCCAACTGCCAGGTGTGTTTCATCTCGCATCCTGCCCCAGGGGTCCCAGGCGATCGCGCGTTACCGATGTCTCTCACCAGACAGCTGTGATTAGGACTCAGCAGAGGCACAGACAGCAAAACTCCAGGCTTCCTGGGGACCAGGGCCATGCCCTGAGCACTGCTCTGCAATTCTGCTGAAAGGCAGGTGGTCATGTCTACCTTTTCCTGATAAGGGCTCCCTTATAACAACAGCTAGATGGTCTGGATTTTACAAAACAGAGAGATTCGGGGGGTGGGGGTTGTCATTCCCATTTAGCAAGCTCTTACCATGTACCAGGCACTGTAGGAGGATTTTAGACATGTTGACACTCTCCTGGCCGTTTAAGAAAGTCTCTATTTTCTGGGTATCACTTCTAATCCTTACAACAGTTGGTATTTTCACCCTACCTACGGAAAAACTGAAGCTCAGAGAGGTTAAATAACTTGCCTGTAGTCGTACAACTGGAAAAGGAGCAGTATAGGAATTTAAAGGCTATCTGACTTCGGAATCTATGATGTCACTACCTAAGAACAGTGTAAATAACGAGAGCTTAAGCAGTGTTTGAGATGGAGAAAGAGAGTGGGCTTGGGATGCTGCTATCTGTTGCTCTGAGCAAGCTGGGAGTGGTGGTCATCAGACAGGAAGCCTGCGTGATTCCTCTGACCACCCACCCAGTCTGCGTTATGAACAACAACCCCCAACTCTCACCTTCCTCAAGAAGAGGAGGTGACAGTAACTGTCAGGCAAAGTTTCCATGAGCTTTTGTTGCATTTTCACACCCCAGAAACAGTGGATCTCAGGGAAAGTTTAGATCAGAATTTGCAAACTGGTAGTTTTCAGGACAAGTTATCCCCGGAAAGATGTTCTGTCTTGACCTGTGGTATATTTTTTTAATTTCAGGTTAATTGCTATCATTTTACTATGATGATTATTATTATTGTCCCTTTTGGCTGCAAGGCATGTGGGTCTACCAAGGAATGAACCTGCAACCCCTGCAGTGGAAGCTCAGAATCTTAACCCCTGGATTGCCAGGAAAGTCTCGATATCATTTTAAAAACAGAACTCCAGATAATTCACATAGAAGCCCGGATTTCTGAATCATCTTGAAGAACCAGAAGATCTAGCAGCCCCAGGCCTCTGTCCCCACATGGCCACCACTGGCTGAGTTGCGCATTGACTGCTTCCTTTGATGAGAAGGGGCTTTTGGATTTCTGCAGCCCCCACCCCTGCTTGATACTCTGTATCAGGAGTGCCAGTCTCCCTGGAGCATCACCCTCCTCCTACCAGTTTTCCTATGTTAAAGATAAGAAGAAAAAGAACTTTCTTGGGCTCTATGAGTGGGAAAAGTAAAAAAGAATTCATATTTCAAACTAAAAATCATTATTTCTGCATGTCTATGTGTACCAAAAAAGATACCACCAAAGAAGGAAGCCTGACCCTCTTCCTTCATTTTTTTCAGTCTTTTTCCTGGTTGTTGGCGTTTGAATTTAACACCATTTTGGCCACCTTTTCAGGCCATGTCCAGTGGAGTTGCCCACACAGAGCCAGACATCTGCAGACTGGCCCAGGAGACATGTCCTGGGCTGGTCTCCAGGCTGAAGCATGTGCTCGGGGCCCGCCAGAGCATCCCCATCATGGTTTTGTTCCCTTTTCCCTTCTCCAGGTGTTCCCTTCCCAAAGAACTTCCTGCAGATCTGCAAGAAGATCCTGTGCCGCCTCTTCCGGGTCTTCGTCCACGTCTACATCCACCACTTCGACCGGGTGATTGTGATGGGTGCCGAGGCGCACGTCAACACCTGCTACAAACACTTCTATTACTTCGTCACGGAGATGAACCTCATAGACCGCAAGGAGCTGGAGCCCTTGGTAAGTGTCACCATGTACTGGCTACACCCAGGTCACCCCAGGAGGTTGACCATTTGTCACAGAACACTGCCATGCCCCTGCACCAATGGCCGGCTGCTGGCTGGAAGATTGCAGAATTGGGCAGGATTTAGGGGTCAGGTAAAGGTCAGGATATGCCAAGATGTGCACAGCATTCAAGAACTGAGATTGTCATGGTTTGGGCTAGAGGGAATAGCTTTTTTAAGAAGAAAAAAAAAAAAAACCTTTTTCCTTTTGAATATTTATTTGGTTCCATCTGGTTTTAGTTGCAGCATGCAGGCTTAGTTGCCCATGGATGTGGAATCTTAGTTCCCTGACCAGGGATCGAACTCTCGTCCCATGCATTAGAATGGATTCTTAACCACTGGACCACCAGGGAAGTCCCAGGAGTAGCTTTAGTTCTCACCTATTTACTTAACCCCGTAAATGGGCATCTTTGAGTTCTATGTCATCTGCTATGGTGGTTTCCAAAGAAGGTAATAAACATTTGTTCAGTCAGTGAATAAATATTTAGCACCTACTGGGTGGCAGCTTTGAGAAACACAAAGTTAAGTTAAGCTTTGAGTAGCTTTTATTCCAGGGAGAAAGAGAGGTGAGCCCAAAATGAGAATACAGCGTCATGGGGACTTGACTTTTCATACTGAACCCCTGCAGTGCAGTTTTAATGGAATATGTGAGAATTTAGAACACTTGGTTAAAAACACTTTGCTCTTATTGTTTAGGTGAATGAGGGGTTCTTTTATTTTCTTTCTAAGCTATCTTTACAGCTGGACTCAAACTGTGCTTTAGAGGTCAAGGGCCCCTAAAAAACCCTGCATCTTTTGTAACATGTATCATACTATGGATAACCTCATCAGAGCTATCTTTAACAGCTCTATTGAGTGCTGTCTTAGCCAGTATAATACAGTGCTTTATGGAAAAATCATGCTTTTTCTCTAAATCAGTTTAAAGTGGCAGCTTTTGGTAAACATAACTGACAGAGTAACTAACTTTGATCCAAGTCCACTTAAACAATGGCCAGAGTGCAGGGGCCAGACCAGTCATTTGCTAGCCTGTCTTCCTTTTTCTTTATGTACATTTTTTTTTGTTTTCTCAAAGATTGATTGATTGATTGATCTAATTTAGGGGCTGTGCTGGATCTTCACTGCTGCACTTAGGTTTTCTCTAGCTATGACAAGTGACGGCTACTGTCTAGTGTGGTGCCTGGGCTTCTCCTGTTGCAGACTGCAGACTCTAGGCATGCGAGCTTCAGTAGTTGTGGCACATGGGCTCATTAGCCGCGGCTCCCAGACTCTAGAGCATGGACTCAGTTGCTCCCCAGCATGTGGGACCTTCCTGGAGCAGGGATTGAACCCATGTCCCCTGCTTTAGCAGGTGGATTCTTAACCATTGGACCACCAGGGAAGTCTCACATGTTCTTAAAATATAGGTTATAATTTATGTCTGGTGAGGCCAACAGATCCAGAGATGATGCCATTAAAAAGATAGTTTGTTTTACTCACAGATCCCCAAAGAAGGGGGCACGCCACAGCAGGAGAGCCACACAGGAAAGATACAGATTGGACAGGAAAACATGGCGCCTCTGTTGTGGTTTCCCTGGAAAGGAATGGGCGAGGCAGGGTAATGAGGCTAAATATGGACTAATTTGAATCGTTTCAGAAGGTTCTGGGGCAAAGGGGCTGCCCCAAGCTGTTCTCCTGGCCCTAGGGTGGTGAGAGAAAAGGAATTTTAGCCCTAAGTGTGAGCAGCCTTAGAGGAGATGGTTGGGGGAGTGGACCCTGGATTGGTTGGTTTGTATTGACTGGTGAGTAAAGAGCTCAAGGATGGGTTGGTTACTATCTCTAGAAATTGGTGAGTCCTGATCAAGGCTGTCCCTCCATTTTTCACAAGGCCCTGGATATTAAAGAATCAAAATACAAAAACCAGAAGACATGTTTAATGCATGTTTAGAGTTCCTGTATCTGGCAAAGAAGACATTGGGGGATGAACAGATGTTTTATACATCATTTTTAGAGTTTCTCAACTTGAAATCTATTATTAATATTATGCTTTGGAATACATGGCAGAAAGCATGTTTTCTGTGCATCACTCGTGTTCTGGAACAAAGCAAGACTTGCTGGGTCTTGTGTTATATCACTGGCTAAAGCATTCACTTTCTTCATTTTCTTTCACAACCACTTTCTAGAAAGCCCTTGGCAGGAACTAAATTGTCTCTGAATTCAGCTGGACATGTGGTGTGGAAAGAAGCTAAAACATATGATGGAGTTTAGCTCATTTGTAGAAAGGCTATTTTGAGTAAACAGAAAAGGTTGTACAAATAGTAAAGGGAGTTAAAAGCCTGGAAGGAATTGATAAAGCTAGTTTCAGGAAATGTCTAGGACAGAATGGACAGGGGTGGGTGAACAAGGGCAAGCATTCTCATCTGCAGAACATAGGTCTGCTTCCGGGAGTTTGGATCACCTTTGTTCTGTTGGTATGTTCAGGTGGAGGGGGACACTTTCCCTAAAGATCCTCTTAGAGGAAGAGATTCTTCCCAACACCCATATTTGGGTTTCTCTGAGCTAAAGGAGCAGAAACACCTTTTGGAGAGAGGAGAATGTTAATTTCTTCTTTACGTATGGAAATATGAAAGTCATTATAGGACAGAGTTGAGTGTAAGCTAAGAAGTAGAGGGAATTAGACCTGACAGTTCAGCGGTTAGGACCTGGCGATTTCACAGCCAGGGCCCAGCTTCACTTCCTGCTCAGGTGCTAGGAACCCTCATTGCCAGGGCTGGTGAAGATCTCAGTGATAGGCCACCCAACATGCTGTTATTGAACCCAGCCTCATTCAGTTCAGTACAGTTAATCATTTGTGTCTCTTTGCGACCCCATGAACTGCAGCATGCCTGGCTTTCCTGTCCTTCACCAACTCCAGGAGCTTGCTCAAACTCATGTCCATTAAGTCGGTGATGCTACCCAACCATCTCATCCTCTGTCGTCCCCTTCTCCTCCTGCCTTCAATCTTTCCCAGCATCAGGGTCTTTTCAAATGAGTCAGTTCTTCACATCAGGTGGCCAAAGTATTGGAGTTTTAGCTTCAGCATCAGTCCTTCCAATGAACATTCAGGACTGATTTCCTTTAGGATGGACTGGTTTGATCTCCTTGCAGTCCAAGGGACTCTCAAGAGTCTTCTCCAACACCACAGTTCAAAAGCATCATCTCTTAAAGCTCAGCTTTCTTATAGTCCAACTCTCACATCCATACATGACTACTAGAAAAACCATTGCTTTGACTAGACATACCTTTGTCGGCAAAATAATGTCTCTGCTTTTTAATATACTGTCTAGGTTGGTCATAGCTTTTCTTCCAAGGAGCAAGCACCTTTTAATTTCAAGTCTGCAGTCACCATCTGCAGTGATTTTGGAGCCCAAGAAAATAAAATATCTCACTGTTTCCATTGTTTCCCCATCTATTTGCCATGAAGTGATGGGACCGAATTCTGTGATCTTAGTTTTTTGGATATTGAGTTTTAAGCCAACTTTTTCACTCTTCTCTTTCAGTTTCCTCAAGAGGCTCTTTAGTTCCTCTTTGCTTTCTGCCATAAGAGTGGTGTCATCTGCGTATCTGAGGTTATTGATATTTCTCCCTGCAATCTTGACTCCAGCTTGTGCTTCATCCAGCCTGGCATTTTGCATGATGTACTCTGCATATAAGTTAAATAAGCAGGGTGACAATATACATCTTTGACAGACTCCTTTCCCGATTTGGAACCAGTCTGTTATTCCATGTTCAGTTCTAACTGTGAATTCTTGACCTGCATACAGATTTCTTAGGAGGCAGGTCAGGTGGTCTGGTATTCACATCTCTTTAAGAATTTTCCACAGTTTGTTGAGATCCACACAGTTAAAGGCTTTGGCATACTCAATAAAGCAAAAATAGATTTTTTTCTGGGATATTTGATCTCTGGTTCCTCTGCCTTTTCTAAATCCAGCTTGAACATCTGGAAGTTCTCGGTTCACATACTGTTAAAGCCTGACTTGGAGAATTTTGAGCATTACTTTGCTAGCGTGTGAGACGAGTGCAGTTGTGTGGTAGTTTGAGCATTCTTTGGCATTGCCTTTCTTTGGGATTGGAATGAAAACTGACCTTTTCTAGTCCCGTGGCCACTGCTGAGTTTTCCAAATTTGCTGGCATGTTGAGTGCAGCACTTTCACAGTATCATCTTTTAGGATTTGAAATAGCTCAACTAGAATTCCATCACCTCCTCTAGCTTTGTTCATAGTGATGCTTCCTAAGGCCCACTTGACTTCACATTCCAGGATGTCTGGCTCTAGGTGAATGATTGTACCATCATGGTTATCTGGGTCATGAAGATCTTTTTTGTATAGTTCTTCTGTGTATTCTTGACACCTCTTTTTAATATCTTCTGCTCCTGTTAGGTCCATACCATTTCTGTTCTTTATTGTGCCCATTTGCATGTAATGTTCCCTTGGTATCTCTATGTTTCTTGAAGAGGTCTCTAGTCATTCCCATTCTATTGTTTCATTAACAGTGCCCAAAGTCTCTGAACCACCTGTCTTAATAGTCTCTTATGGTCCAGGAAAATATTTCCTCATATTGCCTCTTCCCATATCTAGAGTTACACTAGTACAATCATTGATCTCATATAGAACTATATATCATCCTTATATCAGAGGCTCAGTTACACATATTGTAATGCAAGAAACAACAGTTTTGTAAAGCAGGCAATATAAAAAGCAAGTTAGCAGATGAATGAGGTCATAAGTAAAAGTATAAGTCAAGAACTTTGCTCCCCAGAAATAAAACAAACCAAAAAAAAAAAAAAGCCAAGTAGAGAAAGCTTTCCTTTGCATCAGAACACTCTCATCTACAGCAGACCCTTGAACAACACGAGTTTGAACTGCATATAAAGTCCACTTATATGCAGGCTTTCCTGGTGGCTCAGATGTTAAAGAATCTGCTTGCAATGTGGAAGACCTG